TGCCACTGAAAAGAGCAACAAGTGCAGAGTAGAGAGATTATTACGGTCTGAGCTCTTAGAGGTGCCAGGTACAGGTTTAGTTTTAGGGACATCCTATGGTGATAGTAATAATTTTTAAAATGATAGTAAATAATATTTATTGATATTGAGCTTGTATCTGGTTCAATGCTATATAAACAGTATTTTGTATGTGTATGTAAAATTTAATGCAATAACCCATGAGGTACGTACTGTCATCCCTGTTGTTTGGATGAGGAAACTGAGACTTAAAGAAATCTAGAAAACGTAATATCCTGAAGTTATATACTTCATTTTCATATACTCTGTATTTCACATGATCTGCATTTTCGTTTACTCATTAGTGACTGCTCATTCACTTAACTAATGATTATTTAATAATATATCAGGCACTTACTAAATGTTCAGAATACAGAAATGGCAAAGAATGGCATTTGCTCTCTTAACCTCAGTATCTCATAACCTATTGGAACAAAAGATAAATAGCATTTGTGTTGCATTTTGCCATTTATAATTGTATTTCATATGTATTATGTCAGTTAGCCCTTATAATACCTATTTTAGAAATAGGGAAATGAGTCCAAGACAGAACTTGAACCCAAGCTAGTGAATCATTTATTATGCCATAGCTCCCTTTTTATATTTAGACGAGTAGCATCATATCATTACCAAGCTTATTCTTGCAAATTTCATTAACTTCCTTTGAAATATACTTGATTCTAGTTAAGGAAATTGAAGACCATATTAAATAACTTAGGAACCAGGTTTTGGTGTTCTGCTCAGTCTTACATAGGAATTACTGTATTAATTTTGGTCATTTTTTTAAGTTTATTTTTTTTATTAATCTCTACACCACATGTGGAGCTCAAACTCACAACCCCAAAATCAGGAGTCGCACGCTTTTCTGACTGAGCCAGCCAGGCACCCCCTAGGTCATATTTTAAATGCAGTTTCATTTCATATGCTTTCTTAAAGACTAGAGAATGAGGATTTTCAATCTTTACACCCACTTTGTTTATTCAGTTATTTTAGGATACGTTCTCTCTTTGATTTTTACCACAGGCAACTTCAGAATGGACCTTGGATTACCCCCCTTTTTTTGCATGGTTTGAGTATGCCCTGTCACATATTGCCAAATATTTTGATCAAGAGATGCTGAATGTCCATAACCTGAATTACTCCAGCACAAGGACCTTGCTTTTCCAGAGATTTTCTGTCATCTTTACAGATGTACTCTTTGTGTATGCTGTCCATGAGTAAGTCTGAGAATGTCATTTTGTGTGGAAGGTGTTGAGGACATAATACAGTGTTAAGTAGTATTAACTGGTTCCTCATTTGGGGGAAACAAAATTCATATAATAACAAATGTTAGAACAGTCCCAAACTCTGTATTTGTGTTTTAAACTGTACAGGGAGTAATTACAGTAAACAGTCTAGCTGAATCGTCTGGAAGAAAATGTGGGATAAGGTGGGGTTACAAGGCAGAGGTAGAACAAGAGATTGTGAACATTGTGAAAAGTAGTCCCAAGTAGAGTTCCATCACCATTTCTCCTGCCTAGAATGGTTCCGTATGCTTTTCTTTCCTTTCCGTATGCCCCCAGAGGCTTCTATGACCTACCCTATTCTTTCGGATACACACACATACTTAGAGCACACCACACTCGTGCACACACATGCATTGTGCTGACCACCAATGGAGTTTCCATTCTAGTAAACTCAGGAAACCTTACTGAGTGCTTTTGGGTTTTGTTTCTGGATTCTTTCCTTCATGAAGACTCTTCATTAATTTTAAGTTACATTTATATTTTATATTCTTATGCTTTGTATCTCTTATTATAAATTAATTTTTAGTTGAATACACATGTATACAATGTCTTGCACAGTGACTTCCAGGTAGTAAGTTCTCAGTTACTGTTTGTTTCTATTCTATCCGAATACTTAAGCCTGCAGGTATGATTGTGACAGAGCACTAACTGTGTCCCTTCAGTGACCCTTGTCAAAAATGGATCTTTTCTCTTTGTGAGGCCCTGAACCCTTGCCCCATTCAGGGAAGAGTCCCTTGGGAATGTTTTAATCCCTGATCATTATCATGGAGTGTTTCCTATTTAACACCTTAACTTTCAGTCTGTTTTATCACCTAGCAAGAGTTGGAAAGGAAGGTGATTTGTGATGTACTCCTTTAAACTCCAAACCTTTGAATTCAAGCTCCCAGGGCAAGTGTATATGTAGGCAGAAAGAGGAGGAGTAGAATTCATTTCCATCTGCAATGTAGAGGGAACAGTTAAGTAAGATAAATTGTTGAGACCTATGTGCCAGTTTCTAGAATCAGGCACCAAGTATAGATAGTAATTTACTTAATTTTCTCTATTACCCTATAAGGTTACTGTCTGTTGATGAGGAAACAGTCTCCATGGAGGAAAAGCAGGTCACTTTTTGCTAACCCCTCTTTAATTGCATCGTTATTGTCTATTTTTTTGGCTTAGATTTCTGTTTTTAGGATTTGCCAATATTCAAATGAAAACACATTTTTAAAAATCTTTTTATAGGATTATACATCTGTGTCAAAATTTTGGAAAACAGAAATGTACACATATATACAATGCATATAAAGTAAAAATGACCCATACTTCTCCACTTACAGCTATCACTGTTAACATTTTGGTGCATATTATTTCAGCCTCTCTTCTGTGTCTGAATATAATTTTTATAAAATAAAAATAGGATCATAATTTTTGTCATCTGCTATTGTCACTTAGTAGATCTTGACCTTTAAATGATACACATTTTTAATAAATGTTTTTAGGATTATTTGGACAATCAGGAGCTATAAGTTCATGGCTCTATTTTTAATTTGAGTGATAATATATATATTTAGAGTGCTATATCATCTTGGTCTGCATTTTTTTTTTTAGTACAGTTGACACACACTGGTACATTGTTATACTAGTCTCAGGTATGGTCTGCATTTTTTACTCAAGGACTGAAATAGTGTGTGCCCTCTCAGTTTTCAAAATCCTTTTGGGTTTATGGTGGTTGTTTTTTAATTTTTCGTTTTATTAAATGAAGACTTTGTTTCAAATCAGCATAGCTGAGAAAGAGACATGGAACTGGCCCTGAGGTCTTTGTTTCTGCTGTCACCTTAAGCAGTCAAGAACAGCATGGACAGTTTATCAGGAACAGCTAGTAAAATGTATTTGAGTGTATCAGAGTATACTTTGTAATAGTATTGTGATGTTCTAATGAAGATCAAAGTTGTTTCTGCTTCCTTCCTACCGTTTCAATGTAGGTGCTGTAAATGCATTGATGGGAAAAAAGCAGGTAAAGAACTTACAGAGAAACCGAAGTTTATCCTATCAGTGTTACTGCTATGGAACTTCGGGTTGCTAATTGTGGATCGTATCCTTCCCTTACTTATTCTGATATATACTAAGTATAAGATCAATTATTTCTACAATGATGATTCTGAAGTGTGAGCTGCTTTTGAAAATGGATGTGGCATGGGTCATTGGGTTCCCCAAACTGGTTTCTATGGGTTCTCCAACTATACCAGATTCTGTTGTTAGAGCACTTTGTCTCCAAAAAGTTAATGATGTTCAAGAACCAGTTAAACCACCAGTAAGTAAAGCAATATACTGGGGTTTGTGGTTGACTGTCTTTAGATTAATACGTATATCTTAAATAGTTCTATAACACATTATTCTAAATACCTTTTCTAAGAAAGGGTCTACCTCAGTGTTGCATATGGGAACAGACAGGCCTTGATCCTTTTCTGCCATCTTGGCTTACCACATATTAACAAGCAAAGTTCTTAAATCTAGAAGGTTTGAATGAAACTAAAATCTTAATGATAGAAGCCTAATATTTTATAATTTTCATACAGGTAGCCACGTGTGAGGAAAACACCCAGACTTTGGTTCAAGTCTGACCTGGACTCAGCTCTTAGCTATGGCATCACAGTAGCTTTAGGCTATATATGGATTAATGGCTCGAGCTCTAACTTCCTCACAGGTTCATTGTGAGGCTTACTAAGTAAGGTTGTGTATAGATACTCTAAAAAAGGGGGTGCTGCATGCTAGCGGCCTTGAGTGGATTTTAGGCCCTTGCTTTCTCATCCCTAATTCTAAAAAACAGAACCAAAAAACTTGCCCTGTAGCTGCTAGGTCTTTAAGGTAGAAAAAACATTGGAAAGTTTCCTGGTTTTCTTCTTAAATGTAAATTTTTTTTATCCCCTATATAATCCTTGGCACTATATACATTTTAATTAGTCTGTCTAAGATTTGACTCTGTTTCTGAGAAACATATGTATGAGAAATCCAAATTGGGAGGAATATTTTTGTTTTTAGTTTGCCCATTAGGAAAGCATTTGCATTTTTATACTCAAAAAATCTGACACAGTTGAATTTGAATTTGGTATCCTTGCTTGTCTTTCCTTAACCTAAGCCCAGATATTCATTTCCAGTACAATGGTTTTTTATTTGGATTAATGCTACTCTCCATTGCACGATTATTTCAGGTAAATGCAAAATAGGCTGATGAGATTTTTTCCCCCCTTAGGTCTGACTTTGAGCTTATAAAGGCAACAGTATAATGGGTGAGGGGCAGACTTATTTGACCAACTGTTTTGAATTGCCAAGTGCAATAGACACTTTCATTGAGTTTTCTCACAAATCCCGTCTCCTCTTTTGATAATAACTTTCTTCCTTTTACATGTAGACTCTAAAAACTTGTTAGAGGGTAGCAGGCCTGAAAAAAACTTGAGGTGCTATATTTGGTTGGAATCTTTTTTTTTTTTTTTAAAGATTTTACTTATTTGACAGAGAGACACAGCGAGAGAGGGAACACAAGCAGGGGGAGTGGGAGAGGGAGAAGCAGGCTTCCCGCCAAGCAGGGAGCCCGATGCAGAGCTCGATCCCAGGACCCTAGGATCATGACCTGAGCCAAAGGCAGACGCTTAACAACTGAGCCACCCAGGCGCCCCGGTTGGAATCATTTATCTAGGAATGAAATCTTCAGTTTTACAATATAATAACTGATGGTAGGGTTTCACCATTAGAAGTAGGTAGCATAGTGTAACAGAAAGTATGGGATTTTGGAATCAGAAGACTTGAGTTGAAATACTGACTGACCCTAATAAACTGTATGACTCAGACAGGGCTCACACAAATGCATTGACTGCTTTGGGTTAGGTACATTATATATAGTATCTTATTGAGTAAACCTCACAACTATTCTGTGAAGTTATTATAATTATTACCCCCCCCTTTGTAGAGGAAGAAATCAGAAGTTCGGATTTCTGGACCACCCCTCTGTACTCTGGCTCAGAATCCTTGCATCGGGGTTTCAGATTCTACATGGAATTTTGATTCACAGTCAGGTTTGGGAACCATTAACCCCAAAGCAAGTCATTTAACCCCCTCAGCCTCAGTTTTTGCAGCCATAAAATGAAATGTACCCCCTTGTCACATTGTTATTTGTAAAATGGGGCTCCCCACTGGGGCGCCTGGCTGGCTCAGTTGGTTGAGCATCCAACTCTTGATCTCAGCTCAGGTCTTGATCTCAGGGTTGTGAGTTCAAGCCCCATGTTGGGCTCCACACTGGGTGCAGAGCCTACTTAAAATGGGGCTTCCTACCTCACAGGGACTTTGGAAAGATCAAATTTGATAATCTGTTTTAAAGTTCTTTGTCAACTATAAATGTCTGGATAAGTTTTTTCTTTTAACCATAAAAAGCTACATAGTACTTAGAACATAATTGGCATTCAATGATTGTTGAATAAATAAAGTTTAGCTATAGAACCAACTAGACCTTCTCTGAATTTAAATAAATTATAAAATGGGTGACAAGAGATCTGAAAGCCCCCCATTCTCTTTCCTTATCATTCCTCACTCATCTATTCTAGACCACACCCAATGAGAGAGTGAGAGAAGGAACCTGGCCTTTCAAGGTCCCTTTGGCTGTCTCCTTGATGAACCACAGGAACATTATCTCATTTGATCCCCAGATTCCTGTGAGGTAGGTAGAATTCAGATTTATTTAGTTATAGCCAACTTGGGATTTTTTTGTTTATTTGTTTTAAATCAGACCACCTTTAGTTTGTTAGGGTCAAGTACTGTGCTTGATGCCTTCAGCCTGGTAGTACTATATGTTACCTGATCTGTAACAGCAGATTTAAATGGTTCTGTGGTAGCATAACATCATATGTATTCTTTCGTACTCTCATTCCCAGCTCCTCCCTGGAAATCAATTCCAGCTGTTGTAAAACTGTAAGGGGGGGCGCCTGGGTGGCTCAGTTGGTTGAGCGACTGCCTTCGGCTCAGGTCATGATCCCAGGGTCCTGGGATCGAGTCCCACATCGGGCTCCCTGCTCTGCGGGGAGCCTGCTTCTCCCTCTCCCACTCCCCCTGCTTGTGTTCCCTCTCTCGCTGTGTCTCTCTCTGTCAAATAAATAAATAAAATCTTAAAAAAAAAAAAAACTGTAAGGGGGAGAGGGAGAGGGATTGGATTCTCTGGGCTTTAGATCTTTAAGGGGAATTTGTAATGTGTTGTTATGATGTGTCCTGTACCTCAGCGTCAAGTTTAGTATTGAATAAATACTTGTTGCGGTAATGAACTAGGCTCAGTATAAAAACTAACTGGAATCACTTGCCTGTTTCACCTTATATTGCATGTAGAATATTTGCCCGAATTTCAAAAACTTTTTATTATAGCAAATTTAAATCATATACAAAAGTAGAGAAAATAGTACAGTGATCTACACACACACACACACACACACAATTATTTTTAAACACATCGCAGATGTAGTATTTCATTCAGTAGTTCAGAATATATATTTTAAAATATGTATTTTTGTTGGTATATCTTACACCTGTAATGGATTGTTTAAATTATTATTTTTTTTTATTGAGACATACTGGACAGTATTCTATTAGCTCTAGGTGTACAGCGTAGTGATTCGGCAACTCTATACCTTACGCTATTCTGACCAGAAGTGCGGCTCCCATCTGTCACCATACAACATTATTACAGCACCACTGACTATATTCTCTATGCTGTACCTTTTACTACCATGACTTACTCATTCTTTTTTTAATTTTAAACATTTTTTAATTTAAATTCAATCAATTAAAATGTAATGTAGTATTGGTTTCAGAGGTAGATAGAGGTCAGTGATTCATCATTCTTCTATAACACCCAGTGCTCATTACATCACGTGCCCTCCTTAATGTCCATCACCCAGTTACCCTATCCCCCCACCCACCTCCCCTCCAGCAACCCTCAGTTTGTTTCCTATGATTAAGAGTCTCCTGTGGTTTGTCTCCCTCTCTGGCTTCGTCTTGTTTCATTTTTTCCTCTCTTCCCCTGTGATCCTCTGTTAAAATATGTATTTTTTTAATTGTGGTCAAATACACATAAAATTAACTATCTTAACCATTTTTGAGTGTATAGTCCAGTATTTTTTTTTTAAAGATTTTATTTATTTATTTGAGAGAGAGAATGAGAGAGAGAGAGCGCATGAGAGGGGGGAGGGTCAGAGGGAGAAGCAGACTCCCTGCTGAGCAGGGAGCCTGATGCGGGACTCGATCCTGGGACTCCAGGATCATGACCTGAGCCGAAGGCAGTCGCTTAACCAACTGAGCCACCCAGACGCCCCTATAGTCCAGTATTGTTAAATATATTCACAATCTCCAGTGTCTTTTTTTATTTTTTAATAATCTTAATTTTTAAAAATAGTTTTAGATTTATGGAAAAGTTGCAAAGATAGTGCAGAGAGTTCCTGTGCCCCTCACCCACTTTCCCCTAATGTTACCATTTTATATAAAACTATGATACTTTCATCAAGACTAAAAAACCGTATTGTACACCTGAAACTAATATAACACTGTATGTTAACTGGAATTAAAATTAAAACTTAAAAAAAAAAAAGACTGAAAAACCAACATTGGTACATTCAGATGTCACCAGTTTTTCCACTAATGTTCTTTTTCTTTCCAGGATCCAACCAGGATACTACATTACTACATTTAGTTTACCCTGAATTTTAAAGTGATATTTCCCTTTTAAATCTCCTAGAAAAGGTATATGGAAGGAGCATTTCTCTTTGCTGTTCTTCTACACTTCAAGCACATCTACCTCTACGTAGCACCAGCTTATGGTATATACCTGCTACGATCTTACTGTTTCACTGCAAATAAACCAGGCAAGTTTCAGTGATAAAAGCAAAACCTTTATTTTATTTTTCTTTGGCTTGGCAGTTTGCCTCATGAGAGGATTTTATGAGGCACAACAGATACCGCTCGACTATTTTTTTTTTTTTTTAAGATTATTTATTTATTTGACAGAGCGGGAGAGCACAAGTAGGGAGAGTGGCAGAGGGAGAGGCAGAGGCAGATTTCCCACTGAGCAGGGATCCCAATGTGGGGCTGGATCCCAGGACCCCAGGATTACCACCTGAGCCGAAGGCAGACGTTTAACCAACTGAGCCACCTAGGCATCCCTGAGATACCTCTCAACTATTGATCCTACAAACCCTTTACCCATTCTGACTTTTCTTTGTGCTCTTGCCACATCGTAAAGATGGTGTACCGTCGGGATACTTCTAGATTTAGCACATTGTATTAAGTTATCCATGGTTGTCCATGCTCCTAGTAATGGTAATGTTGCTTTTCTGTAGATGGGTCCATCCGATGGAACAGTTTCAGCTTTGTCCGTCTTATTTCCCTGGGACTGATTGTTTTCCTAGTTTCCGCTCTTTCATTGGGTCCTTTCCTAGCCTTGGTAAGTCTTATTTTTTTTAATAAAGTAGTATGTGTTTTTTGTTGTTGCTGCTGCTGTTGTTTAGGAAAAAAAATAATAAAACCAAAAATGTATAAAATAAGCAAAACTACTTTTTTCTTACTCCTCCCCAATGTGACTCCCCAAAAATAGAATGGTATTCTTTCCAACATTTTTGTTCATAGTCAGATACGTATGTGTGTATTTATATGTTTATATGTCTCTCACACACATAGACACACACACTCAGAATCGATAATCATTGTTCACAGATTTCCGTATTTGCTAATTTGCCTAGTTGCTATAATTTATTTGTAACCCCCAAATCGGTACTCGTGGTGTTTTCACAGTCATTCACTGACAGCAAACATTCAAAGTGCCTAGAATATTACGCATGTTCAACAGATATTTTTAAAAATTGTTCCCTTCTTCCCATACCCTGAATTCCACTAATTAATCTTAATTCCTGCTAAAACTGAAAAGCATCGCATCTTTTGTAAAGTCTTCCTTGGGGTCACCTTCTCGTCAGTAGACTTGGATAAGCTGCACTCTGTGTCCTCCTTTGCACCATAAATTCTTCCCTTATTATGCTTCTCTCATAACAGCACGGGACTGGTATTCAGAGTATCTTGTCCCCCTCAACAGATGAGGTTAGACAAGAGGAGGTTCTGACAACTGCTCAGGATCACACAACTACTTGAAGGAACAAAGACTGGAACTCAGACCTCATAACTTTCCACACCCCATGTCACATAGTTCCCTGGTTCTCTTTTTGAGTCTGGAAAAGATTGGTCACTGTTGAATCTCTTTTCTACAGAACCAGCTGCCTCAAGTCTTGTCCCGACTCTTCCCTTTCAAGAGGGGCCTCTGCCATGCATATTGGGCTCCAAACTTCTGGGCTTTGTACAATGCTTTGGACAAAGTGCTCTCCGTCATTGGTATAGTAGCAAGCCTTCTTACTTAGACAATGAATTTGGAAAGGATGAGTCACATTGGAAAATGGAAAACACTGCTTTGTGTTTGGAATGTGTTTGGAATGTGGCTGAAGTGTTTGTTCTGCAGCTGTGCATTCCAGCTTTCAGAATGAACGGGGGAGCAGCTCTAAGAACTAAGATCTTCAGGGCAGTAGACAGACTATGCTCCTTACGAAAGCTGTTTGTGGCCATGACCTTGTTGATCCTTTCCTTGGGAAAAAAATGAGAGTAAGATGTTATTCGGCAGTTAATCCTGCTTTTAAACTTAGTATGTGCAGAAGGAAAGAAGAATGTATCAGTTGTGACTCTCGGTGTTAAACCAGTAAGGAAAATGATAGCCATATATGAGATGAGAAGAAATGGGAAACCTAGGCTAGGCTTTTAAGTTTGGGTTGTGATTTAAAAAAAAAAAAAAATTAAGATGGTCCTACTGAAAATAATTCATTCTAGAATAACTCACAGTAGTTTGTGAATATAGCCTAGCTTGATGGGAAATGGTAGGATCAAGAGAAAGGTCGGCAAACTTTGTCTCGAGTGGGCCAGATAGTAAGTAGGTTAGGTTTTGCGGACCACATAAAATCTTTTTGTTTGTTTTACAACCTTGAAAAATATAAAAACTCTTCATAGCTTTGGGTCTGTACAAAAGTAAGTCACAGGCTGGAGATTTGGCCCTCAGGCTAGACTTTGCCAACCCCTGATCTAGAGTCTGATGCGTTGGTTGGAGGCCCACCTACATAAATTACTGGCCATGGCACTGATCAAGTCACTTGACTCTTCTAATGATTATAATTAGGGGATAATATAAGTGACTGTACCCATGCGCCATGTCACAAGAAACACACAGTAATAAAGAAATGCTAGGTTGTTAGTAGCAGGGGCCTTTGGAGCCAAACAGACCTGGGTTTAATTCTACCACTTACCACTTGTATGACTTTGGACAAGTTACACATCTCTCTGTGCCTCAGGGGCCTGAAAGTAATGGCTACAAAACTCTTGGCACATGATAGCCGCCATTACTGTTTTTGGTACATACTTGTAGGAAATCATAATGTGATATTATCCCTCACCCACTGTGAATCCAGCCTTGATGTACCTGGATCCTTACAAGGAATTTCTTAGCATTTATATTTCAGAAACCTTAATCAACCAGCATGGTATGAGATTCAAGGGCCAATTTCCTTGTCTGAGTCAGGAAACTATGCTGTACCTTGTCTTTTATATCTGTCTCCTCAAAGATGTCTTACCTGGAAAGTCAGTGGCAGGAAGGTAGTTACTAGCTTTAAGAGAGAATCATCAGACTGAAGGGAAAAGGAAAGAGGTTAATGAATACAAAATATTTTGGTATTCCCTATTCCAATGCAAACAGCTGCTTTGCATTGTGTAATCTGAAGACCAGAGGCATTTTAGGTAGAATAGTACAGAATTTAGTCATATATCTTGACCTTGAAGCAGGAATAAGATTTAGTAGCTTTTTTCTTTTTTCTCAAGGAGTTGGTTGGTAAAATATGGTGTGCTATCGATAAAAACAAAACAAAATATCTACTTATTCTGTAGGTTTAGAATTGAAACTTCTTGATCCCAACAAAATTCCCAAGGCCTCAATGACAAGTGGTTTGGTTCAGCAGTTCCAACACACAGTCCTTCCTTCAGTGACTCCCATGGCCACCCTCATCTGCACTCTGATGGCCATATTGGTAAGAATTCACCCACGGTACCCATTTCTTGAGTTTTCTCTGCTTTTCTTATGTATGGCTGGTTAATTTCAGCTTTCAAGTTTTTCCAACCATAGGACAGATACCATGGCTGTGATCCTGTTGCAGATTGAGGTATTTCATAGCAATTCTTAGAGTAACTTTGAACACCTTAAGGAAAGATTTACCAGTAAAACCTCTGTGAGAAAGATCCCTCACTGCAGCTGTCAGATCATCTGTTCACCCTCAGATGAGGACAAAAGAAAAGCCTAGGGAGGAGGGGCAAGGACTGCACTGGGGAGAAAAAGAGAAATGTGTGTAGTGGGGACATCCGGGTTTCTGCTATTGTTTTCATCCATGGCTAACTAGTCAAAAATCCAAAGTTGTCTGGACTGCATGGATATTTTTGTCTTGATGATGACCGTGAGTTAAGAGAGTCAACAATAGCTGTTTGAGCATCAAACATTGAATCTAACATGAGTCAGATGCTGTTAGAGGCTTCATTCATAGCTGTTTTTATGTTAGCGAACACATGCTCTCAATTTCATGATATAATTTTAGTGGTATTCAGTATAAATAACTCAGTCCTACCTATAATTACACTCAGCTTTAATTTTGGTTTCTAAATGATCAAGCCCAGCAAGACACCTGACCCCGCTTAATTAAATGGCAGTAATGGTAGGTAATTAAGCTCTGCTGGCCTGCTTGTTCCCATGTTCTAACTAAGGTAAAAACTTTTTTTAAAATCTCAGCCTCGTAAGCTACATGTAGAAGGCCATAGTTTTATTATTTTTTTTAAGTTTTTTTTTTTTTTTTTAGGATTTTATCTACCCATTTGACAGAGAGAGAGATAGAGAGAGCACAAGCAGGGGGAGTGGCAGGCAGAGGGAGAGGGAGAAGCAGGCTTCCTGCCGAGCAAGGAGCTTGATTGGGATCATGACCTGAGCTGAAGGCAGACACTTAACGGACTGAGCCACCCAGGCACCCCCATAGTTTTATTATAAATTACACTCCAGCCCACGAAGCTAGGTACGTCTTTATTAATATGGCAAAATCTAATTTATTATTAGCCCCAAAATGTTTATGGACTTTTGTAGTTAGACCTAATGGGTTCAGTGACTGCTAATTAACTAATTCTGAAGATGTAATAAGGGGTTTTACTGGATATCCTAGAACTTAATTTTATCATTTATTATTAATTCTGATGAACAGAATTACTTTAATGACTTAAATATGTATTTCCAAAAACCTTTTTTTCTGAGTAGTTTTTTTTTTATAACTTCTGTTGGAATGTTCACAAAGTGATGAATTATCCCAGTTTAATGGAGAATAGCCTAAGATCTACGGTTTTTCAGAGATGATATAAATTGTATTTGTCTGAACAATGTTTCTGTAAAGCCTATTTTGAATGATATTGAGGTTTTATCTTTGCCTGTTGTTTCTAGCCCTCTGTTTTCTGTCTTTGGTTTAAACCTCAAGGGCCTAGAGGCTTTCTCCGATGTCTAATTCTGTGTGCCTTGAGCTCCTTCCTGTTTGGGTGGCACGTCCATGAAAAAGCCATACTCCTCGCAGTTCTCCCAATGAGGTAAGCAGATAACTCAGTCAGCTGGCGTTTATGGCAGATTTCCCAATGACCCTACTGTTTTCTGTTTGATCTGTCCCTTCTTGACATGTCCCGTGGGATAGGCAAAGGCAAAGATATACAGGAACAAATTTATACTAGGACAGGACAGGAATTTTTAACTTGCGATCCCTGGACCTGTGAAATTGCACGTATTGTTTCTGCATTTTTTTGTTAAGGGGTACTGTAGTAATGAAGAACCATGATACCAGGCTGTTAGATCTGGATATTGAATGGCAGCATAGTATAGAAAAGTGTGGGCTTTGGTGTAATCACATCTGTGAAAACACGGTTCCAGTTTCTTGTTAAGTGTTATTAGTCAAAGTCAGCATGGAGTCCATAATGGAATAAAATCTAATGTTTGTATAGCACGTCACATTTTGCAGAACTATTCTGGGGGTTTTGGGGGGGGTATTTTGGGGTTTTTTTGTTTGCATTTTTTTTGAGCCTCACAAAAACCTTTAAGGTAATTAGGATAAGTGGGTATCATCCCCTGTCTTAACATCTGCAGAAACTGGGGCTCAGAGAGTTTAAGTGACTTACCCAAAGCCACACAGCTAGCAAATAGCACAGTTAGGACTGAAACCTGATGTTATTGCTGATTCCCTCGATCTTTCACTGTACCATGCTTAAAAAAAAAAAAAAAAACTAAATGTAATAGTGTCCATTCTGTATAAAATTAAAGCCTGATAGATGATAATAGAACTTGAGATGTTTCTTAAATCCTGAGAGAAATCATTTAAGCTCTGAAGGAACCATAAGCAAATTTGTCACATCAGTATACCGCTTGACTGGATTCATTCAGCAACGTGGAGTTTCCAAATTAAGAAATATAGCAAAACTTCTAATGTCTTTGGTTAGAATTCATACTAAGCACCATCAGGCACAGGGCACCACCCAAGAGAAGAGCTATAGGGTTGGAAACTCCTAAGTACTGTTTCCCTGGCTACCACCACTAGGCAGCTCCCAATCCGACAACATCCCTTTCTCTGGAGACGGCATTACTTAGGGAAGCAAGACTCTTTTTGAATACTCCCCAGTTCAGTGTGGTACATTCTTCTATCAGTTGCTTAAATTTTCCCACTAAATTAATATTCTCAATTGAATTGGACTTGCAGCAAAGATCAGTATGTTATCTTATGCTTAAGCCAGTTCTAGATGCAGTTTATTCAAGCTATCTGTAGTGCAAGTTTCAGTTGTTGTTTTAAGGAATTATTATAAGAATTTTTATTTTTAGCCTTCTGTCTGTGGGAAAAGCAGGAGATGCTTCAATTTTTCTGATTCTGACCACAACAGGACATTATTCCCTCTTCCCTCTGCTCTTCACTGCACCAGGTAAACAGCTTTTTTAATTAAGTAAGTAATTTATTTATTTATTTATTTAGAGAGAGAGAGATTTGATTGCCATGCCCTTTTCATCAGGGCCTAGAGATCAATACTATCTGAGTTAAACAACCTTAAAATCTCTTGGAAGAAGAGAGCTCATCCATTATCTTAAATAAAACCCCTACTTTGTCACGTTATCCTCAGTATCTTTAGATGTCACAAAAATGCACTGTTAAGCTCAAAAAGCTTTGCTAGCACTATATAGCTGTGTCAATGTGCTTATTATATTGCCTTAAGTATCACAGATCATTTTCTTACCAACTGAATTATCATCTGTATTTTTTCTTTATTCTTTTAACAGAACTTCCCATTAAAATCTTACTCATGTTACTATTTACCATCTATAGTATTTCCTCACTGAAGACTCTCTTCAGGTAATCCAAAAAAGTATATTTAAAATTATGTTTGCTCTTGTGAAATGTTTACTCCTAAATGGTCAGCTAAGCCTTTAAAAAATATTTTTTAAGTTGTAACAGTAATAGAACAGCATTACAAAAAATTGGCAAATTTTTTTTAGGGAGAGATTACCCATAATCCTATTACTCTGACATGACAACATAGTTCATGTCTTTATTTTGAGGGAATATTTGAGGAGGGACTACCTAGCTTAAATTAAAACCTTATATGAAAACTAAAAATTGGAATGTAAAATATACAGTATGAGTAAAACCATGTAAATATAGATGCATAAATACATGTAAAATACATGTAAAAATTCTTGTTATAGAATTATGGGTGGAATTTTTTTCTCTTTTAAACTTAATATAACATTACCTGTATAATTTTTTTTTTAAGATTTTATTTATTATTTGAGAGAGAGCATGCATGAGCAGGGAGAGGGGCAGAAGGGGAAGGAGAGAATCTCAAGCCAACTCTCTGCCCAGCGCAGAGCCTGACACTGGGCTCAGTCTCACCACCCTGAGATCCTGACCTGAGCTGAAACCAAGAGTTGGAGGCTTAACCAACTGAGCCTCTCAGGTGTATAATTTTTTAAAGCTTCCCTATGATTCATATCTGATTGTGTCCATGAGCCTCATATACTTAATTATATTAAAATTCAGTTATTACCATATGACCCAGCAATTGGACTCTTAGGCGTATACCCAAAAGAACTGAAAACAGCAGGGCGCCTGGGTGGTTCAGTCTGTTAAGTGTCTGCCTTCAGCTCAGGTCATGATCCAGGGTCCTGGGTTCGAGCTCCGCATCAGGCTCCCTGCTCAGCAGGGGGCCTGCTTCTCCCTCTCCCTCTGCTCCCCTGCTCCTGCTCTCTTTCTCTCTCAAATAAATAAGTAAAAAATCTTAAAACAAAAAACTGAAAACAGGGACTCAGATACTTGTACACCAGTGTTCATTGCAGCATTATCCTGCAGCATCATCCACAGTAGTGGACAGAGATTGTATGAACTATCTAGAATAGGCAAATTCCCAGAGACAAAAAGTAAATTAGAGGTTACAGAGTAGGGGTGGGGGAGGAGGACTGGGCAGTGATTATTGCTTAATGTTTCCAGAGATTCTGTTGGGGTGATGACAATGTTTTGAAAGTGGATAGTGGTAACGGTAGCACCACTTTGTCAATCTACTTAATGGTCCTTCCCCTTCTGCCCCTAATGGTCCTAACTTTAAAAATGGTTAAATAGCAAATTGTATGTGATTTTATCAAAACAAAAACATTTTACAAACCATCAATTGATATTGTTTACCATATTCTGTCTCCAGTATCACAACATCCAACTGCCTTTCCTCCTCCAGACGCACAGCTGATTCTCTCGCCAGGTGACGGTGTAGGTGGATGATGATTGGCTGAATTTGGATCGTGGAGATAATGCAGTGCCATATCATTATCAGTTTTTTCTAAATGTGAAATTTAATGCACTCTTTTGACTCTAGCTTTGACTGCTCTTCACATCAGGACAGTGCAAGTGGGAAGCTTTAGCTGAGAAATGTTTGCTACACCAAAATGACGTGTTTAAAATCAGACTTTTCTCTCCTTTTTTTCTTCAGAAAAGAAAAGCCTCTTTTTAATTGGATGGAAACTTTCTACCTCCTTGGCCTGGGGCCTCTGGAAGTCTTCTGTGAGTTTGTATTCCCTTTCACCTCCTGGAAGCTGAAGTACCCCTTTATCCCTTTGTTACTGACCTCAGTGTATTGTGCAGTGGGCATCACATATGCTTGGTTCAGACTGTATGTTTCAGTATTAACTGACCCTCCTATCCGCAAGACAAAGAAACAATGAATAAAGGAACTGCTTGGATGTATTCCAAACAATTATTTCATGGGAAATTAATCAGAACTTGAAGAAAGTTGCTGGTGGCATGAACCATTCATTTCAGTTGTTCTGTTTGGAGGACCATTCTTCTAAACTTGGCCTTGTCCAGCCTAGCAACCTGATTGTCACCATGGTGAGAAGCCATTTGTCCTCCAAAAGCAATGAAACACATTTGAAACAAATCTCGCCTTGCCCTGTTAAAATTGTCTGAGATCATTGGACTGCTGTGCTTGCTCAAGGCAAGCAGGGAGTCTACCAACGGCATGATTATTTGTAGCCTGTGATGACCATGGTCAGGCTGTAAAGCATAATTAGAATCATGTGCTAAGGGAAATGTAAATAAAATGCTGTTTTGTATTTCTGGACAAAAATGTTTTGGATCATTACCAGCTTCTACACTTTCCTGTTGGTGTGCACGCAAGCACATGGTATGCTGTCCCTATTCTATAAATCTTGTTCCAGGAGATTTTTTTTTTTCCACTGGAATCATACAATGACAATACTCACAAAGCCAGGGGGGGAATGTTTAATGAACTGGTTTGGCCTGTCAGCAGAGGCTATAAACCACATCTACGCCTGCATTTAGTTAAGGACATCTTGTCCAGTTCATTTATTCTAACAGCAAGCAGTTAGTTTTTGATAAGGCTGCCACTTCTTAAACTTTTCTCATGTGAACAAACTTAAGTGGTTTTTTAGTGGTTTTTGCAGCCTGGCCTTCTGTAAGAGTATTTCATACACACTTTTTATCCAGGACCTCAGTCTGCCTAATACCTACTGCACGCTCAAATTCAGCCAACATTTATCTAGCCAACACCAGGAACTTTCACACATTTTCTTTACCCGTTATCCCTTAGAAGAGCAGAGTCCAAAGCCAATGGCAGCCTGGGATGCTAATCCAGCTATGTGCCATCCCTTAAATTCACTCAACTCTCTGAGACTTCCTTTGAGTCTCATTGAAGAGATAAAGATAGGAATTTTGCCAAAGGGGGAGAGAAGCATAGCTCCTATGGCCTGTTTTCCTCACCACAGTCCCCCTCGCACTCTGGGTTCCAGCTGTCCTAACTGAAAATTGCCAGAGTGCCATGCTATAGTGTACCTCTGCTTTCTTTCATTCATTCTGCTTCCTCTTTCTGTCTCTCGGCTGACTTTTCTACCCTGTCATCTGATTGTACATACTTCAAGAGCAAACATAACTGCTACCAGATCTATGAATATACAGGTAGTACAGTGTAGTGATTAAGAGTAGGAACGCTGACTTAAAATCCTGCCTCCAGGGGCACCTGGGTGGCTCAGTCGTTAAGCGTCTGCCTTCAGCTCAGGTCATGATCCCAGGGTCCTGGGATCGAGCCCCGCATCGGGCTCCCTGCTCAGCAGGAAGTCTGCTTCTCCCTCTGCCACTCCCCCTGCTTGTGTTCCCTCTCGCTGTCTGTCTCTGTCAAATAAATAAATAAAATCTTTAAAAAAAAAAAAAAATCCTGCCTCCGTCATTTTCTATCTGTAGCCAAGTTATTTAGCCGTCCTTTGCCTCTATGTCCTTGTCTCTAAAATGATCACCAAAAAAATTAGAACCCCGCCTGACACATGAATGTTCAATAAATATCACTTGATATTTTTATGAATCCTTTCCTCTCCCTCTCCAGTCTCTCCCCCTCCCCCAGAATTGAGTACCCTCACCATGGGTGCTCCCATGCTGGGGAGTCTCCTTCTACCATTTACTTGTTTATGTATTCCCCAGGACACACTAGCAGTTTGAGAGCAGAAACCACACTTGCCCTTAATAGCCCCAGTGTTTGACACAGTTGAATGAATCATGACCACACAGGCCATGATTAAAATCCAGGTGTTTACTAATACCAACATTAACAGAAGAGACTCAGTGAAGTTCCCATCTTGGCCAATTGGTGTGCAAGCCAAAAAAAAAAAAACAAACCAGAAGTTAAATTTGGACGCATCTCTACGAGGCCAAATTTAATTGTACTTTGTAGGTGGTTCTGTGAAGTCAGAAGAGCTTATCTGGTGCAGAGATTTCCAGAATATTCTGCAGAGCCTGGGATGTTCTTGAGAGTTGCCTCAGAGGCTCTGAGCCCTGTCCCATCTTTTACCAAAGCAAATATGCTTTGATCTATTTCATATATTGGGCTTCACATAAATTTTTGTTTAACCAAAAAGTTCAAAGTCCAAATATATTCTCTTTAAAGCAACTTAACCTCTTGTGTTATCAGGTCAGGAGGGAAATGGCTCCAGAGACAGGAATGGCTTGTTGGTGCCAACACAGACTAGAACCCAGACTTCCTGCCGACAACCCATGACTCCCAAGTACGACACGTCGTATTCATGTATTTAGACTTTGTGAGCTGTGGCCCGTTTTCAAGAACAAAATTCCTAGGTTTCAGCAGTTGGTAAATAAACCAAAGTGCTGCTTCCAAATGTTCTGAAATCTAGAATTAAGCAATGTCAAGAACAAGCTAAGGTTACTATCAAAATTTAAATAAGATATAAAAATAACTCTTTTTTTTTTTTTTAAAGATTTTATTTATTTATTCGAGACAGAGAATGAGATAGAGCATGAGAGGGTCAGAGGGAGAAGCAGACTCCCCACCGAGCAGGGAGTCCGATGCGGGACTCGATCCCGGGACTCCAGGATCATGACCTGAGCCGAAGGCAGTTGCTTAACCGACTGAGCCACCCAGGCGCCCAAAAATAACTCATTTTTTACCTGCTCTTTAATTTAGTTAACAAGGTAAAAAAAAAGAAAGGTGGGAGGGACTTGGTATTCTTGGTCAGTGTCTTTCCCCAGGCAGGGGGGTAGAGCCAGAACCGGAAGGGAGCTACGGGGAAGAGGCGCTGCCTTTCCAGCCTAAAACTGGCGCGGCTTTCCTTGTTCATGACTCCCGCCCAAAAGCTGCTCCTTGCGAAGGAAGCACTTCAGTGCCAGAGAGATGCCCCCTACGTGTAGCTCAGGTGGCTGTTTGCAGTTAATGGGACAGAAAAGCATTCCAGCAACATACGGCCTTTGAAAAAGATGTTTTACTCTTGAGTAGTTTGATGAAATTACATTTCCAGCATGATTGTGGTAAAAAGCAAATCTTGTGACCCCTCTCTCCCCTTTCTCGTGCTTCAAAGAAGCAGGCTACTCTGCTAATGGCAGCCGAGATTAGAACAGACTTATAAACCTCAAAAGCTTGAATCATTACAGCCATTAGTATCTCTCGATGAAGTCCCATTTGCAGCATCCTCGTTTTATAGAAAGGTCAATAAATGTACCAGTTTTTTGTTTTGGTCTCAGGAGTCGGAAATAAAAACAATATGCTCGTATACATAAAACAACTATGAAAAGGACAGGACCCAAAATACACCTATGTACAGAATCACAGAACTTTAGAATCCTAGAAAGGCTCTCAGAAGATCACTCAGGCCACAGTCATTTTTTACAGTTTTGATGACAGAATAAATAGGCAGTGTGGAGGTGTTCACCGCTTTGTAAAACAGCCCCTCCCATGTTTCGTAGGGCAGTTAGTGCTGAATTAATATTTTTCTTCCTCTGCCTTTTACCAGTTAGTCTCTGGAGCAGTACATAATGAGGTTCTACTCCCATTTATGACAGCCCTTCAAGTGATCCACCAAGGGAAAATCCCATATTTGTGTCCCCTTCTGTTGGGTGCCAAGTATTCTGTGAGGGAATCAAATTCATTCGTTAAAAAGAATTCACTGAATTCCTACTGTTTTGTACTGTGCTAGGTGCTAGAGATCAAAAAGTAAATGAGAGACATATTCCTGCTTTCAAGGAATTTATATTCTAGTGGCTGGAGGGTCATGAAAGCCAGAAAGAGTAGCATGCGTTGAAGTTGGAGAAGTAGGCAAGGTCCAAGTCATGTAGGGTCTTTTAGGCCATTGTAAGGAATTAAATTCTATTTTAACTACAATGGGAACAAAAGGGTTTAAAATTTGCTGAATTACATTTCATGTATATGGAGCAAAATTCAGAAGGTCCGCAGCCACCGAGTTCCCCTACCAGGAGGGCAACCATTGCTATCAACATCTTGTGTATCATTCCAGAGATACCAGACATACTCTATGCACAGACAAGTGTTTATATACACACAAATGATACCATTATACTCACTGTTATGGCCTTGCCTTCTTTATCCCCTTAGTGTATTTTGGAGTTCATTCCATTATCAGAACATATAAAATGGCATCATGCTTCTCATAGCTGCATAATACCTGCATCAGTTATCTATTGCTGCATAACAAACTTCGTGGCTGAAAACAGCACATTTCTTATCTCAAAATCTCTAGGTTGAGAGTCCACATGCAGCCTATCGGGTCCTCTGCTTTGGGGTCTCTCACAGGCTGCGGTCAAGGTGTCACTTGGAGCCGTGTTCTCATCTCAAGGTTTGACTGGGGACTGATGTGCTTTCATGCTCACACAGTTGTTGGCAGAATGCAGTTCTTTGTGGGTTGTAGAACTGATGCCCTCAGTTTCTTGCTGACTGTTGGGTAGAGGCGACCCTCAGTTGCCTGCCGTGTATGCCTCTCCATAAGGTAACTCACAACATAGCAGCAGGCCTTATCAAACTAAGCAAGGGAGAGAGTCTGCTAGCAAGACAGATGTACATTATCTTATGTGATATAATCATAGAAGTGACATCCGGTCACCTTTACCCCATTCTGTATATTGGAAGGAAGTCACATGTCCCACCCACACCGAAAGGGAGGGTATTACACTTGGCATGAGTACCAGGAGGCAGAGATAATGGGGGGCCATATTAGAGTATGTCCATTAAGGTATCCATTATATAGATGGACCATAATTTATTTAACAAGTTTCCTCTTAGTGGACCTTTAAGTTGTTTCCAGTATATTTGCTAGTGTAAATACTGCAATAAGTATTGATACTTCATTCTGCACATGTCCTAGGATTGATTGCACACATCATAGGATTAAATTTCTAGAAGTGGTTTCTGGGTTGAAAGCTAAGTGCATTTAAAATTTGGTTGGGGTGCTTGGGTGGCTCAGTTGGTTAAGCAACTGCCTTTGGCTCAGGTCATGATCCCAGTGTCCTGGGATCAAACCCCATGTTGGGCTGCCTGCTAAGCAGGGAGTCTGTTTCTCCCTCTCCCTCGGCCTGCCTCTCCCACTGCTTGTGCTCTTTCTCTCTCTCTCTCAAATAAATAAATAAAATCTTTGAAAAATAAAAAATAAAATTTGGTTGATTGCAACGACGTGGATAGAACTAGAGGATATTATGCTAAGCGAAATAAGTCAATCAGAGAAAGACAAATACCATATGATCTCATTCATATGTGGAATTTAAGAAACGAAACAGCATAGCAGAAGGATAGCATAGGCAAAGGGAGGGAAAAATAACACAAGATGAAATCAGAGAGGGACACAAACCAAAAGAGACTCTTAACAATAGGAAACAAACTGAGGGTTGCTGGAGGGAAGAAGGGTGGGGGGATGAGGTAGCTGGGTGATGGGCGTTAAGGAGGGCACATGATGTGATGAACACTGGATGTTATATACAACTGATGAATCACTGAACTCTACCTCTGAAACTAGTAATACACTATATGTTAATTAATTGACTGTAAATAAAATAAAATGTAAATAAATAAATTAAATTTGGTTGAATATTTGTTGTTGCCAAATTAGTCATAAAAAGCATACCACCTGGGGATACCTGGCTGGCTCAGCTGGTACAGCATGCAATTCTTGATCTCAGGATCGTGAGTTCAAACCCCATGTTGGGCATAGAGCAACTTAAAAAAGAAAAAAAGAAAGAAAAGAAAAATTGTGCCAGTTCATGTTCCACAGGCAATGCATGAGGATGGTGGCTTCCCCCACAAACTTGCCAACTTCGTGTATCATCAATCATTTGATCTTTGCCAATGATGTCTGAGTCATTTTCTCTCTTTTTTTTTTAAAGATTTTATTTATTTATTTGACAGAGAGAGACATAGCGAGAGCAGGAACACAAGCAGGGGGAGTGGGAGAGGGAGAAGCAGGCCTCCCGCAGAGCAGGGAGCCCATTGTGGGGCTCGATCCCAGGACCCTGGGATCATGACCTGAGCCGAAGGCAGACGCCTAACGACTGAGCCACCCAGGCGCCCATCTGAGTCATTTTCATTTGCAGTTCTCTTACTGGAGAGATTCGAATCTTTTCACATGTTTAAGAGCCATTTGTATTTTCTCTTCTGAAAACTATATTCTTTGCCACTTTTCCTATTAGATTTTTTACTTTTTCAGGGCTCAGTTGGTTGAGTGTCTGTCTTCGGCTGGGGTCGTGATCCTGGGGTCCTGGGATCGAGCTCCACATTGGGCTCCCTGCTCTGCGGGAGGCCTGCTTCTCCCTCTCCCACTCCCCCTGCTTGGGTTCCTGCTTTCACTCTCTCTGTCTGTCAAATAAATAAATAAAATCTTTAAAAAAAAAAAATGGTTAAGATGGTAAATTTAATGTTATGTATTTTTTACCATAATGAAAAGCTAAAATTTTATTTTAGCAATATAAATTTATTATTACATTAAAGATACCATAAATCCAAAAGTGTGTAAAATGCATATGTAAAGTTAAAAATAATAAAATGTACACCCATATACCCATGACACAGCTTAGAAAGAGAATAGTATTAATATCTTAAAGGCCTTCTATGTGCTTTTCCTTCCCCAGAGATAACTATTCTGAACATCTATGTTAATCCTTCTCTTGCTTTTCCTTCCAGTTTTACCACTAATATGTGTATCTCTAACCAATGTATTTTTGCTTAATATTGAACTTTATATAAATGTAATTATATATTCCCCTGTTGTTCCTTTATCGGTCGTTCGCTTTTTTAACATGACTCTCTTTTTTGAGATTCATCATACTAATGCATACATACACCTTTCTATGAAAATACCACAATTTATTTTCTGTTCCGTTCTTAATGGACATTTAAGATGTTTCCAGTTTGGGGGGCACCTGGGTGGCTCAGTTGGTTAAGCGACTGCCTTCGGCTCAGGTCATGATCCTGGAGTCCCAGGATCGAGTCCCGCATCAGACTCCCCACTTGGCGGGGAGTCTGCTTCTTCCTCTGACCCTCCCCCCTCTCATGAGCTCTCTCTCTCTCTCATTCTGTCTCAAATAAATAAATAAAATCTTTAAAAAAAAAAAATGTTTCCAGTTTGGGAGTATTACAAATGGCTAGTCCTCCTGTGAATATTCTTGTACATCTCCTAATCCTGGTACATGTATGCAAAAGTTTCTCTGGACACTAGAGTATAGGCTTAGAGTATAGACTTTCAAGGAATTGAGAACAATCTAAATATCCAACAAAAAGGTAATGATTAAATAAAATATGACAGGGGCGCCTGGGTGGCTCAGTCGTTAAGCGTCTGCCTTCGGCTCGGGTCATGATCCCAGGGTCCTGGGACCAAGCCCCACATCGGGCTCCCTGCTCAGCAGGGAGTCTGCTTCTCCCTCTCCTACTCCCCCTGCTTGTGTTCCTGTTCTCGCTGTCTCTCTCTGTCATATAAATAAATAAAATCTTTAATAAATAAATAAATAAATAAATAAATATGACATATTTATGTGATGGAATATTATACAGTAGTCAAAAGGAATAAATCATTACATTGAAAGATAAAAGTGAGAGAATAGAGGCACAATGAATTATACTATTCAGGTAAAAAGAAATTAAAAACACACATGACACAATACTAAATATATATAAAAATATAAAAAATGAATGGGAAGTATATACACTAAACTCATTATAATGGTTCTCTGGGAAAGAAAGGAAAGGGGAATTCAGCTATATCTACAGTGTTTTATTTCCTTTTAAAAAAAGGTTAAAATAAATATGACAAGGGGCACCTGGGTGGCTCAGTGGGTTAAACGTCTACCTTCGGCTCAGGTCATGATCCCCAGGTCCCACGATCAAGCCCTGCATCAGGCTCCCTGCTCCTCGGGGAGTCTGCTTCTCCCTCTTCCATTCCCACTGCTTGTGCCTTCTCTCTGTCAAATAAATAAATAAATCTTTAAAAAAATAAAATAAATATGACAAAATATTAATGGTTGTTAATTCGAGGTGATAAAATATGGGTATTTGTTATCTTGTTCTTTGTAATTTTTTTAAGTTTTGTTTAAAAAAAAAAAAGTCCCAAATTGGACTCAGAAGAATGTGGGGGAGAAGAATGTGTAAACAGCATTTAAATATTTTTAAGTGTTCGCCTAAGAGTTCATCTAGTATTCAAAATAATCTCTTTTTTTTTAATTTTTTATTATTCTTATGTTAATTCCCATACATTACATCATTAGTTTTAGATGAGGTGTTCCATGATTCATTGTTTGTGCATAACACCCAGTGCTCCATGCAGAATGTGCCCTCCTCAATACCCACCACCAGGCTAACCCATCCTCCCACCCCCCTCCCCTCTAGAACCCTGTTTGTTTTTCAGAGTCCATCGTCTCTCATGGTTCGTCTACCCCTCTGATTTCCCCCGCTTCATTCTTCCCCTCCCGCTACCTTCTTCTTCTTCTTTTTTTTTTCTTAACATATATTGCATTATTTGTTTCAGAGGTACAGATCTGAGATTCAACAGTCTTGCACAATTCACAGCGCTTACCAGAGCACATACCCTCCCCAGTGTCTATCACCCAGTCACCCCATCCCTCCCACCCCACCCCCCACTCCAACAACCCTCAGTTTGATTCCTGCGATTAAGAATTCCTCATATCAGTGAGATCATATGATACATGTCTTTCTCTGTTTGACTTATTTCGCTTACTGTGGAAAATTTTTAGTGGTTTTCCTTCTTTTGATGTAATTTTAAAATAAACACTGTGGGGTTTTTGTTTTGTTTTTTATTGCAGAACAGCTTTTTTATATGTTATACTATTTCCATAGGACAGATTCCCAGCCCTGTAATTACTGGATCAAAGAATGTGAAACTTCAAAACATTTGCTGCGCTCCAGGAAACTCCCAATATACATTACTTCAGGAAATCCTAACTTGAAATATTATAGATCTGGGAGTGCATTTTATAGGCACAAAAGGTCCATCCTTTAACCACTCTCTCTCTCTCTCTTAATATTTTTTTGAAGATTTTATTTATTTATTCATAAGACACAGAGAGAGGGGCAGAGGGAGAAGCAGGCTCCCCGCTGAGCAGGGAGCCCCCATGTGGGACTCAAACCCAGGACTCTGGGATCATGACCTGAGCGGAAGGCAGATGCTTGACCATCTGAGCCATCCAAGCACCCTTTTTAAAATATTTTATTTATTTACTTGACAGAGAGAGAGCACAAGCAGGGAGAACAGCAGAGGGGGAGGGAGAAGCAGGCTCCCCGCTGAGCAGGGAGCCCCACTGGGGGCTTGATCCCAGGACCCTGAGATCATGACCCAAGCTGAAGGCACACGCTTAACCGGCTGAGCCAACCGGCTGAGCCATCCAGCGGGCTCCTCCCCCCCATCCTTTAACCTCTCTTAACTGATATTTAATTCTACTACTTTGGAGCTCAATACCTTTCATACATATACCTTTGCATTAACCTCTGGTTTGATCAGCATTCATCCAGGTAAAATGTTGATCTCACTAATAAACACATCTTCACACAAATCAGAAAGGGTTTTCTAAAGAGAGCCGTTCAAATATAGAAGCTCCTCATTACTGGAGGCAGGTAAGCAAAGACTGGACAGTTACTTGGCAGAAAATTATAAATTCCTTCTTTCTTTCATTCCTCAAACCTTTAGGTTACAGCTTTTCCTTCTGCCACGTGCGAGGACCTGAAGACCCAGAGGTGAAACATTTTAGGGTGCTGCCATCCAGGCTAAATATCAAGAATTTGGCTAAATGGTCAGGTCCTGGTGTCCGCTGAATTCTTTGTTGCTGGCTGGCCCCTAATTTTAGGTTCTGGAAGGTGTGCCTGTGAACGATGGGAAACCCAGGAAATGCAAACTAGCTTTTATGAGATTTCGATTAATTGCGTTTCTTAGAACAATCTATCAAGCCTACCTGTGGGTGCTGGATACAGAGAGAAATTCTGGAAGAAGGACCATTCAGCGTCAGGGGAGGGAGAGGCAATTCCTGGTGGGGTAGGTTGAGCGAAAAAAAGCAGTATCTACTAGTTTTCTTCCAGTTTTGCTCAATTCGTGTACCCGCGACCCCACGGCATCAAGCCCCCAAACCCTACCTGCCAGGATTAGCGGGGGCAGGAGCTGGAGCAGGGTGGGCCATTTAGTATCCCGGAACCTCGTGCGCGGGGTCCCGGCAGCAGCGTGCTGCGGGAAGTGTTTGCGCTGTGCACCGCCCTGCGCCATGCCCTTCAACGGCGTTCTCGGAGGAGAAAGCTCGCGGCGTGCGCCCAGGCGGTGGTCCTGGTGGTTTTCTTTGTAATTGGCGGTCCGAGGCCAGGCCTCAAGCGGGAACGGCGTCACCATGATGAGCGGAAGGCCGGGCCGAGTGCCCTTACGGTTCTTGCCGGATGAGGCCCGGAGCCTTCCCCCGCCCAAGCTGACCGACCCGCGGCTCGCCTACATCGGCTTCTTGGGCTACTGTTCCGGCCTGCTTGATAACGCGATCCGGCGGAGGCCGGTGGTGTCTGCGGGTGAGGGCTGCGCCGGCTGGGTCGGCTGGGAGGAGAGGGCGTCGCGGGGCTGCGGCCGGTTCCCCCAAAGGCTGTCCAAGGTGCTTTCGTTTTTCCGGGCCTTTTCACTAGCAGGCCCCGCCTCGCCTCCCTGGGGCATCTGCGTCCCGTGAGCTCTTCAGAACCCGGTAGGGCCAAAGTGTCATTTGGCACTTCAGGAAACTGAGGTCATTGAAACCCACGAACCCACAAGTGAGTCTGTGAAGGACCCGGGACCGGACTGCCGGCTCCTCTCTCGGTTCGCGCTGTGGTGTGTGCAAAAATGAGCGTATAATCTGTGCCATGCACTGCTGACATTACGTGCATTGTAGTCTTTATCCTCAAAATCCTTTTTGGGGAATGAAGAAACAGAGATTTAGAGGGGTTAACGCATCTTGCCCAAGGTCATACGGCTATGAAGTAGCAAGCCTGTTTTTAGACCTCACATACATATTCAAAGTCAGTGCTTCTCAAACTTAACTGCATACTAATAACCTGGGGATCTTGTTAAAATGTGGATTCTGATTCACAAGGTCTGGGAAGAAGCCTGCTGTTAACAAGCTCCCAGATACTGCTGGTCTGGGGACCCCCCTCCCCCGCTTTGAGTAGGAGAGGCTGAATCTCTGGGCTGTATTCATTCTAATCTATCTATCTATCCGTTCATTTATTATTTACTTATTTAAGAGAGAGCACGAGCGGGGAGGAGAGGGAGAAGCAGGCTCCCTGTTCAGTGGAGAGGCAGGGCTGGATCCCACAACCCCAGGATCATGACCTGAGCTGAAGGCAGCAGAGGTTTAACCGACTGAGCCACCCAGGTGCCCCTGGGCTGTATTTTCTAGTAGTGTGTCAGTGGTCTTCTGTCAGATACTAGCTGACATGGTAGCTGTGCTAAGGGCAATGGATTTCCAAAGGGAGAACAGGAGGGAAGCTTTGGAAGAGGTGTCTTTGAACTTAGCTTTGATTTATCAGGCAAATACTAGGAGAGAGCCTTCCAAGCCCATGGGAGGCTAGTGGAAGTAAATGGAGACAAGGGCCTCTGAGCCTAGAAGAGTTTCATGATTGAGTGTGCAGGGTAGGGTGATAAGGCTAAGGAGGAGATTTAGGTAGATAATGGCAATTTATTCTCTAGGCAGACAGGAAACCTTTTTAGCTTTTGAGAGTTGTTGGGGGGGGGTGGTGCAGAGTGGAGAGATGCAGTAATCAGGCATTGTGTTTTTTGTTTGTATTTTTTAAGTAGGCTCCATGCCCAGTGTGGGGCTTGAACTCACCTTGAGATCAAGAGTCAGATGCTCTACCGACTGGTCCAGCTGGGCACCCCCAGGCCTTGTGTTTTATTTTTTATTTATTTATTTTTAGAGAGAGAGCAACCTCCGAGATCATGACCTGAGCTGAAATCAAGTATCAGACACTTAACTGATTGAGCCACCCAGGTACCCCTGGGCCTTGTGTTTTATTTTTTTAAAGATTTTATTTATCCACTTGTCAGAGAGAGAGAGACCACACAAGCAGGGGGAGCAACAGGCAGAGGGAGAAGCAGGCTCCCCACTGAGCAAGGAGGCCAACGCAGGACTCGATCCCAGGACCCTGGGATCATGACCCCAGCCGAAAGCAGATGCTTAACCGACTGAGCCACCCAGGCGCCACTGGGGGCCTTATGTTTTAAAAGGAAGGTCAACTTGGGGTGCCTGGGTGGCTGCTCAGATCATGATCTCAGGGTTGTGAGATTGAGCCCCACGCCCGGCTCCCTGCCCAGTGAGGAATCTGCTTGAGATTCTCTCTCCCTCTGTTGTGTCTCCCCCCCATCCCGCTCTCGCACACGCGTGCTCTCTCTCTCTCTCTCAAATAAATAAATCTTAAAAAGGGGGGGGTCAACTTTGTCAATGCAAAGCACTGATTGGAGCCAAGGTGCTCAGTTAAGAAGAAAACTAATACAGTGGTTCGGGCAACCAAGAATCACCTCACTTGTGCCTCTTTTTGCCACCTTCCAGCTCTGTGTCATGCCTGAAGGCCAGCTCCCAGCTCACCAAATCTCAGCATTTCCAGTGCTCAAATAGTGTTGAAATCCCATCTCCCTTGGATATGACCCCTCTCCACAGAAAGGAGTGATCTGTGTCTATTTCTGTCTTTAGGAAGATGAGGTTTTCTTCCTTTTCATCACCACTCCACATTTCCCCAAGCCTGTCGTTTGTTGTAAGGAAAGAACTCCACTTTGGAACTAAATGGCCTTGCTCCACTGTCTCCTATCTGTGTCGGCTTGGGCAAGTTACTTGGTCAAGCCGTTCAGAGGCAAAAAGTATCTTCATCTCTAAAATGAGTAACTGGGGCGCTTGGGTGGCACAGTTGGTTAAGCATCTGACTCTTGGTTTTGGCTCAGGTCGTGATATTGGGGTTGTGACCTCAGGGTTGTGAGATGGAGTGCCTTGTGGGGCGGAGTCTTCTCAAGACTCTCACCCTCTGCCCTCCATCTCCCCCACCCGTGCTCACTTGCTTGCTCTGTCTTGCTCTTGGTCTCTAAATAAATCTCTTTTTTTTTAATTAACATATAATGTATTTGTTTCAGGGGTATAGGTCTGTGATTCATCAGTCTTACAAAATTCAGTGCTCATCATAGCACATACCCTCCCCAATGTCCATCACCCAGCCACCCCATCCCTCCCACCCCCCTCCACTCCAGCAACCCTCAGTTTGTTTCCTGAGATTAAGAGTCTCTTATGGTTTGTCTCCCTCTCTGGTTTTATCTTGTTTTCATTTTTCCCTCCCTTCCCCCATGATCCTCTGTCTTATTTCTCAAATTCCTCGTATCAGTGAGATATGATAACTGTCTTTCTCTGATTGACTTATTTCACTTAGCATAATACCTTCTAGTTCCATCCACGGCATTGCAAATGGCAAGATTTTGGGGGTTTTGATGGCTGCATAATATTCCATTGTATATATATACCACATCCTCTTTATCCGTTCATCTATTTTTATATATATATATATATATATATTTTTTTTTTTTTTTTTTTTCCCCGTTCATCTATTGATGGACATCTGGGCTCTTCCCATAGTATGGCTATTGTGGACATTGCTGCTATAAACATTGAGGTGCATGTGCCCCTTCAGATCACTACATTTGTATCTTTGGGGTAAATACCCAGTAGTGCAATTGCTGGGTCGTAGGGTAGCTCTATTTTCAACTTTTTGAGGAACCTCCATACTGTTTTCAAGAGTGGCTGCACCATGGGGCGCCTGGGTGGCTCAGTTGGTTAAGCAACTGCCTTCAGCTCAGGTCATGATCCTGGAGTCCCGGGATTGAGTCCCACATCGGGCTCCCTGCTCGGCAGGGAGTCTGCTTCTCCCTCTGACCCTCCTCCCTCTCATGTTCTCTGTCTCTCATTCTCTCTCTCTCAAATAAATAAATAAAATCTTTAAAAAAAAGAGTGGCTGCACCAGCTTGCATTCCCACCAGCAGTGTAAGAGGGTTCCCCTTTCTCTGCATCCTCGCCAACATCTGTCATTTCCTGACTTGTTAATTTTAGCCATTCTGACTGGTGTGCGGTGGTATCTCATTAAGGTTTTGATTTCTATTTCCCTGATGCTGAGTGATGTTGAGCACTTTTTCATGTGTCTGTTTGCCATCAAATAAATAAATCTTTAAAAAAAATGAGAATAATTAGTCTTTGCATATTTGTTGTGAGACTTAAGTGAGATTCTATAGATAAAATGCCTGGCACACAGAAGGTGCTGGACAAAGTTTCCATTTCTTAGCTGTTGTTATGCAAACAGTTTACAATATGTTTGTTCAACATTTACTGAGCTCTTTTCTCTGTGCCAGGCAGTATTACATACCAGGTATATGGGGTGAAGAATACCATCCCTGACCTTGAAGAGCTCTTAGTCGAGTCAGAGAGACAAGTAAACAGTCCATTATGGGTCTAAGTATGACAGAGAATGTATTTTCATAGAAGTAGGTGAGCAGTGAGCACTTTGGGAGCACAAAGGAGGTTCAGGTTGAATCGAGACTGTTCCAGAGGAAGAGCATAGTCAAGCGCACATGATTTTAGGTTTGACACCACCTCTATCCTACTAGCCATTTGATTCTGGGGAAGTTATTTATCTCCATGAGTGTTCGTTTCCTTCTCTATGAAATAGGGATGCTATCTCCCTCCGTGTGTTTGTGCGAACTGAATGAGATGATGTATAAAGCCCTTAATCTAGGGCTAGGGGCCGGAGTTCCTGAGTTCCCTGGGTGTCCCTAAGTTGCTGTGGAAAAGTTAGGTTTTGGTATGGTATCTAAATGTAGTCCACAAAATTAAATATATTTATTGATTTCTAGGTTTTTTTTATTGATTTCTAGTTTAATATATCAGTAATTTATGGTGTTCTGCAAAGAGCACCATGGCTTCCAAGTTTAGAGTCACTTAATAAAGAAAGGGAAAATGATTGTGGAGGGGTTGTGGATGTGGTGGGAGGGAGACCACCACTGAGAGGTAGGTAAGCGGTTAGGGAAAGGCGGACAAGGTAAGAGGCCACACCATGCCTTTAGGGCTGGGACACTGACATCATCATCTGAAACATTCAGGAAGTCTTCTGTGAGGGATATGGGTAAGCACAGAGAGTCTGGGTCTTTGTGTAGTCCAGTGGCACACAGTAGAACCCAGCACACTTTGGTTTGCTGTATTGCAGGTGGCCCATTAGGGGAACCAATGGCTGTTAGGGGTAA